CTAAACAATCTCTTTCAGGGTTTAGGGTTGAAGGGTTTAGGGTTAAAGGGTTTAGGATTTAGGGGTTTAGGGTTTCGGGTTTAGGGTTTAGGGTTGCAGTTCAGGGTTTAGGGAGGTAAATTTGCTCACAATATCTCCATCCTAACTTACACTTCAAGCGGAAAGTGCCCCGGCAGCTTAGGAATGAATAAATCCCGATTTATTTGTCTACTCTTTGAAACTATTACTGTCTTCAACTTCCTTGGATGTTAAACTAAATTATTTAATAAGCCAGCTCTCAGTAAGTCACGCGGGTTGTCCTGCATTGGCAGCAGGCAGCGCAGTCACCTGCGGCAACGGCGAATGCAACATGATGCTCTCTCTGAGTCTGACTAACTGCCAGAAGTTTGGTCAAAGCTGTCGTCACACTAAAGACCAACGACTAGTGATCGCATGGACTTCGCAACACTTGCTCAGCTCTCACATTTTGACATCCACCAGCGCTTGGTCAAAACAGCGCAGGCCGACAGCTTCTCTTGCCGAGGCCGAGGGCGTCAATGAAATCAAACACTTACTTCTTTCCGGCCCCTTTCGAGGGCGGCTTGTTGGTACGGTCGTTGGCGGGGGCGGTGGCGGGAGCGGCGGTGTCCTCGCCGTCCTTCTTCTTCTCCACTTTCAACTGCAGGGCAGGTGCTGCTAAGCTTAGATTCATGAACTGAAGAAGCGCATGTGCAGCTCTACCGCGACCCTGCCTCTTTGCCACAGTGCGGGCATACCTTAGGGGCCTTCGGTGCTGCCTTGATTCTCGATGTCCTCCAGACTTTGAGGGCGAGGGCCTTCTTCGCCGTGTTGTCCAACAAATCCATGTTAGCGTCCTTCCTGGCAATCTTGTGTCCATCAGCATTGTACCCGAGGCCCTGCATGTCCCGCACAATCTCTGCGGGCAACTGCTCATTCGAGTCCGCTAACAGAATGTTCTGTCCGAGGACGTAGATTTGGGCATTGTTGCACTGCGGAAATGTGACAGGAAACCGGCCATCGAGGACGAGGACCTGCCGGTCAGGAAAGTTTATTTATGGTCTTGCTTGGAACAATACTACTTAACTATGTATCGCTGCTGGAAGCATTGCTGCGGGGACTGCTGCTACACAGGGGTCTAGACAAAACGACATGGTCACTGTGACTGCACCTGACCATAACACAAAAAGACATGAAGAATGCACGAGTTGATGAACAATGACAGTGATCCTCAAACATGTCACTGCTGTGATGTTTTCCTGTTTACCACTCAGTTCCGTGTTCTGCCTGGCCTACGTTCGGACGAAGACTAAGCCCAGCTTTGCGATGGTTTATTCGGTGTCGAGGGAGTTGGGATCGTTGCTTAGTGCGTCAATTCACGACCGATGGAACTCTCTGTATTATACCGACGACTTGGCTGTTTATAGGGCGACCAGCCACCATAAATATCGTCCGAAGGGATGCACTTTCACTTGCTGGTTGACCGCAAGCCCGAAAAAAACAAGGGATGCACTTGCACTTGCTGGTTGACCGCTAAGCCCGAAAAAAAAACAGTCTTCGGCCTGCAACAATGGAAAACACAACCGGAAAGCATGCTTGCAATCCCCACCTATCATTGTCAGCAACTGGCATGCAGATATGCAGACTCCCGAAATGCACACTTGGCCTTAACATGTTAGTTACTATTAATTCCTGTCCTATGTTCGGATGAAGATGTGTTGCTGACTATACTAATATCCAATTATATTTACCTGCTGCGATTGCACCGATTGCACCATCATCCGCTGTGGGTCCTGCCTTGTTGAAGACATTCAGGACTCTCGATGTGCTTTCAGGAAGTCCGTGGCATTGCCAAAGCTGGCCTGGAACCGGCATGAACAAGACACAAGAGAGCCAGTCTGGGAATCCCTATAAGAAACACTGCACGAAAGCCCAACAGCCTGCCGGCTGATCCTCTTTCCAATCCGTGCCCTTCCCGGCACCGAACAGCATGCAGGATCGCTGCTGATTCTTGCCACCTCACGGATTTACTCTTGGACGTCGTCAAACCCATCTGGCGCTGCTGCGAACTAACCGGCCTGGAACGAAAATCCCTTTCTCGCCGACAGAGGGGTTGATGAGCACCGTCAGACTGGACACGAGGACGGGTGGCGAGGACCTGAGAGATCACTTTGTCAATAATATTAATAAATAAGTAAGAAGCAACACTCACACAGACTCGACTCAGGACCCTGCTCCTTGAACAGTCTTAGCACGGCCTTCTGCAAATTCGGAAAGCGCTTCTCCACCATCCAGTATCCCGACGCTTTGCCACCCTTGCCCTGTTTGCGAACCAGCCCGAGCTTCAGCCGGCGACTCATCAGAGACTTTGATGACTTGCCTGTTGCTTCTGCTGTGTAATGCGTTCAAACATACAAGGAAAGAACCGCTTCAATCAACACCCGGTGACACATGAATGACTTCAGAAACACAGTCGCGCCTGATGCCTGCGCAAAGTGCACCAGCATCAAGCCAGCCTCACACTCGCAGGCATGCTTTTCTAAATGGATGCACACGTACTCTGAATCCGAACTCCTCTGCACCAAAGTCCTGCATACAACCAATGTATCCCTGGCCTTTTCGGCGTTGGGCTCGGCCTGAGCCCAAGACTTCTCCACGTCGTTGAGCTTCTTGAACGCAGGGTTATTGTTGCCTGTCACCGACGGGCGAGCAACATCCAAGCGAAAAAGCCAGGCAGCCCAAAAAAGACACATGTTGCACTGCGCGGGCACGGACCTGACACTGCAACACCAGTGGTCACTGCGGCGAGGGCGGCAGCTTGGGATGTAGTTTTTGCTGATTCCATGGTTAAAATTAGGCAAAGGAGCACGCACCGACACAAACGACCCGAGCTGAATAACGCTCAAGTAAATTTTGAGCTGTCAAAGGGCCCGAAAAGGTACACTACATCGACTTCCGTGCACTGGGCAATGCTGCCGTCTTCACTCTGTCAGCGCAACACATGTGAAGCGCTTGTCTTTTCAAAACTCCTGCTGCGTAAGGAAATCTTAGCCGCATTCAGCTCACCGTGTCTTCAGGCTCAGATTTCACAGTGGCGGCCGGGACGTCGCCGAGGTCGGACCTGAGGTCGAGGTCAGGGGCGATCATCTTGTCCTTGTCTGAGCTTTCGCCTTGCGTGACCTCTGAGATGAAGTTCTCGTACTCTTTCTCGGCCTCGTCGCTGGAAGAGGACGAGGACGAGAGGCTAGGGCTAGCTCTTGGAGCATTCGCGAAGAAAACCTCTTCCTCCACCTTGGCCACGAAGCTGTCCAGCTTCGACGCCATGTTGCCCATCATGTCCTTCATGCGATGCAGCTGCCTCATCATCTCCACGTGCTTCGCCCTCCAGCGCAAACGCATTCCCCTCAACCTTTTCGAATACTTGCTCCGCAACTTTTCCTCCATCTCCTCAATGATCGCAGCTCTCAACTTCTGCACACGAAGGTCCCAAGCCGTCGGCTTTTTGTCCCCCGCCGAGGGCGAGTCGCCCTTCTCCTTCTCGAGGGCGACGACCATCTCCTTCTGCTCGGGGCCTTTAGGGCGCCCCCTCTTCACCGGGACGCCTGTCGTCGCCGGCGCTTTGGCTTTGACCATCGCCAACGCAGTGGGGGCAAACGGTTTGAAGCCCACTGCTGCGGATATTGAACATGCTTCAGTTGAGGCGAGGAAACGTCGAGTGCGAATCCTGATCCTACACGGGACGCGGCAGTCGGCCATTTTACTGTCGAGACAATAATCAAGTGGAGCAAGCTATGCGTGCTCAAAAGCCGTGACAAAGCTGCCTGCAAGGAAGATGATGTTGTAGCTGCAAACGTGGTGCTCTGTCTTTCTTGCGAGGACGAGGACTTTTATTTTCTTAAAGCTTATTCAAGCACACTATTATAATTACCGTTGACACACTCCACAAACATACGCGGCAACTCAGAATCAAGCTGGCCACTGGCCATCGTCTTCCAGCACGGTCATGCTGACGCGGATGTCCTGGGCCAGGCAATTGTTTACGTCAGACTTTACAGAATGCACACATTACTGTTCCCAGCATGTTGCGGCCTCCGGCTGCCTTGCCCGAGGATGTGTGATGATCGCTAGTGCCTGGGATCAAGTAGGTGGATGAAGAACCACCTCGCCGACCGGAGACCCCTTCTCCGGCCTCGGTGCCAGACATTCTCGGAACATGGCGAGGTCGAGACCCGTCAGCCAGGACATGGCCTGCTCACGTGCGATGTTGCGTTGACATGAACACTTCAAGCAGGGAAGCTGCGAAGTATGTGTCTGAGGTCGCAGCTTGCGGCCTTGATCGAGAGCCAGGCAGGCCTTCGACCCAATCGAAAATCGAAGCTCAGATACCCAAGTCAGGCAAAGCTAGGCCCAGCTAGGCACCGTGATGCAGTGGGGACACTAGGCGCTACGGCAAACAGCAAGGCCTCCACAGCCGCAACGAGACGACTGGCCTCGCGTTTACACGTGTCAGCGAAGCTCTTGTAGTGTTCACAGTGGCAAGACTGCTGTTGAGAGTTGTGTTGTGATGTTGGCACTCTCCAACCTGGACCTAGCAGTTTAAAGACATGGGTTCCCAACAGACCCACCACCACCCCCGCACCCTAACCGCCCTAACACAACCAAGCCCTTCTCACCCTCTCCCCTATGCCACCCCCCCCCCTCCGATTCTCTCCGAGATTCGCCCTCTGGAGGTGTCATTGCGGAGATGGTCGCTTTCAAACTAAGACGAAGACAAGATGCCTCCCGGGACTCCGGCCTCCATGCCACCTTTCCGTGGCCAGCTCAGCCTTGCGGCGGGCTACTACTACTCTCTTATTGGGGCTGCCTGCCTCTCGACTGCAAGGTGCCACTTTTTTTCACACTCGCAGACGTTGCAGCTCTGATTTGCAAAAGTGGGACTGGCACAATGCATTGGGCCAATGTCCGCCCATGCCACGAGGGCTTTGGCGAGGTCGAGGACCCGCTCACAGATCGTCACCGTCCTCCTCCGAAAAATTCATCTCCGTGTCCTCGTTACCCTCGTTACCCTCGGCCTCTTGATCATTGGGCGCCACGGATCTCTGGACCTTGTGTGGTGGTTCCGCCGCCGTCGAGGGCGCCGTCGAGGGCGCCGGGCTGCCATGAGTCTCCGACGGGGCCTCACCGGTCAGGCTTTGCTCTCGGGTCAGCTTGCGGCATCGCCAACTCTTGTCGCCGAGGCTGATGTCGCTGACAATCCTGAAGGTGATCATCTCGCGGAGCACCTGTTTGTGGATCTCCGTCGCCACCACCTGATTAGGCTGTTCCCCAAAGTCATTAAAGACTATGAAATGCCGTCTAAGTTGACGCGACGCTACCTAGTGTAACTGTTGGGTGTATTAATAAGGGTATAATAATTCTAGGGTTTATTTGTGTTACGAAGTTAACTTAAATAATAATAGTAATAATAATAATAAATAAGACATTGTCGCCCAGCCGCGCAGCTGTACGTGAACTTCCGCTTCAACGCAGGGATTGCGGCGATACCGGAACCAGGATGGTAGTGAACAATGTGCAACGAGGACGGGTCGACGGCGAAGCTGTTGAACAACTCCTCCCAGACGAGGACGCTCCATTCCCACGGGAAAAGTATCTCGCCCCCTTCGTCTGGCGCCTCCGCGGTGTCGGCAGCAGCGTTGGCATTGGTCGCATCAGCATCTGGAGGGCCATGCTCCTCGACAGTGCTTGATGATGCCATGCTGCTGTGGACGTTGCCGGTGACGAGGACGATGTCCGCATTCAAGTCCACGCCCCCCATGCCACGCAGCTGATTCCTGAGCCAATGAGGCACTGGTTGACTAAGTTGAGGGCTCCGGGTTTGACGAGATGTCTGGGACATGTTAGTCTTAGTGGAGATTAGAAGACTGAGCTTAAGACGTCCCTGGGCGGTCGTAGTGAAGTCGGGCGATGACTGGCAGCTGCTGGCGGAACGCACAGCCCAAAACAAACGTTCCAGTCTCGAGGTGGTCTGGAATCTGACAGACCACAGCTTTGCTAGACCATCTTTTCTTGACGAAGCTGCAATCCGTGTCTTCGAGGAACTCTCCTGGTTTATTAATTAAGGCTCAGGGTTTAGGGCTCAGGGTTTTATTAGGGCTCAGGGTTTGGGGCTCAAGGTTTTTAGGGTTTAGGGCCGGCTGAAGAATTTAATGCACTCGAGCAGCGGTTGTGGTAGAAGAGCCTGAAGGCCTCGCTTTTGCGCGACGGCAAGTCGTGCGCTGGCACGTTCTTCAGCCCGGCCTTCAGCAGCTTGCTCAGCTCAGCGGCCGACTTTCGGCCCCTTCCGTCAAAGAGGACGAGGGCGTCTTTGTCCCGGAAAACGCACGGCTTTGCAGTGTCGCCAAGGACCCATGTCATCGACTGCTTCAAGCGCTGGCTGTCGAATGCCGGAGTGAACCTGTAAGGGTAGCGCTTGCAGGCCACGTTGTTGGACACCGCCAGAGTCTTGTTGTCGATGACGTGAAGTACCTTGCGCTCATCATCTGGCTCGAGGACGGGGGCGTGCTCGACACAAATCTGGACAGTCTTGGCACCTTGGACACGGAATTGGACAGTTAGCACCAGTATTTGTACAATCGTCAGAATATGATACTGAAGGCAGACCAGACACGTGTCCGGGCAAACGCCAACGAGGACTCGAAGGCGTGGTCGGGAAGCCTTTCCAGGATGTCAGCCTGCAGGTCGGAGAGTACCAGCGAAGGGAAGTGAGCCGACCTTGGCGGCTTGGACGGGGGCGAGGGCTGTTGCAGCTCGTCCGGCATTTGATCTGTCTCATTGCCATTGCCCTCAGCCTCAGCGTCCTTCTCAACGGGCACCGCGTCCTCACGAGGCTCTGGCTGTGGCACCGGCTTTGCGCCGCCAGCCTTGGCGGTGACGAGGGCGGCAAGGTCGATGCCGAACGCTGCCCGCTCCAGGATCTTTTCTGCGGGCATCAAAAAGTGATCCTCGATGCACTGCTGGAGCTCCTCCTCGTACTTCTGCTGGGTTCCACTCAGCAAGGAGGCCAGAAACTCGCAAATCTCCTTCACAGCAGGCATGGTTCTTGGACGTCTAATGATCATCTGGAAATGAAATGAAAAGAACTACTCAGACAGAACCTGACGCACAAGGCCAGGCCTTGAGATACTCGGGCAAGTCCTGGAGCCAGCCGAGGTGCTCGGCATCGGGGACGAGGACGCTGCTGCAAAGGCCGGACTTGAAAAAAGTCTTGAAGGAACCGAACACCTCCGACAGAACCTTGCAGAGTCATGCAACATGGTATGCAGATTCATTTCAGAGTTGGTGAGACATTCAGCCGAGAAGCCTGGCTCGGAGCTCGCCCTGGCACGTACTTGAAGCCCTCCTGACGGCGGTAGTTCGAAAATCTTCGGTTATTGTTACAAACGCAGCCTAGGTGCACACGGTCAGACGACTCCTGTCCTTGTCTTTGATATTCCCGAATTTCTGCTGGAAGTAAACAACCAGTCTCTTCTTGGCGAGGGCGCATCCCACACGATTCGTCAGCTCAGCCCTCGTAAAGTCATGGCCAACCTGCCAGGTAGAATCTAATAAGCAACGGGATTCTGGTACTTGCTCCGCTAACTCTCGCATCACTGCAATGACACTGTCACTGAGGAACCTTCAGCACCGTCACAGCATGAACATAGTCGCTCAGCACCCAAACAAGCAAGCGCTCCGCCTGCGGGGACGGGTCAATTATCTCATGTGTCAGACAGTGACAGCAAGCCTTGCCGAGGCCCTGGCCACTTGGGGGCTCTTCTGACACGCAGTCCTGCCGACCATGATTTCGAGGTGCGAGGTATGGGCGAGGGCGTGCTTCGTCGCTCCGACGGCGGAATCCAACGAGCAGACGAGGTCCTTAGCAGTCTACGAGTATTCCGCACGGGAAGGACTCATGGACTGGACAGGATGCACACACACACACA